CCAACAGCCCGCATCCCTCTTTTCAGCTCTCTGCACTCCATCCACCTCCTTTCACCTGTCGGTCTCCCAGCGAGGGATTCAATATCCCTGCGGAGAAGTGAGGGGTATGACAGCTGTCTATGCAGCCAATTTCCACATTTCATTAGCCAGACACTGGAGAGGGCCAGAGGTGATGACAGGGGGGTTGGGGTGGTAAGGGCTTGGTAGGGGTACCAGCTCAAAGGGAGGTGGACAGGAAGACTAGAAGCCTCATCTGGATAAATGGGCAGGGCTGCAACAAGAAACCAGCACTCGGGCCTTATAAACATTTTGGAAGCACTCTCCTCAACTGGAAGGTGAGGGAAGCCTGGAGCCTGCTCTGCTCTCAGGCCAGCGGGGCTTTGAACAAGGCTATGTGTGGCCCAGGGCCAAGGGGACTGACTAGCTGGTGAGTAGAAACCATGGATGGCCTGGAGGTTGCAGGGACCCTCTGAACCTTTGATGCAGACACAATCTCCAAAAAAAAGCAAACTGGGTGAGTTCAGGTCAAGCCAACAGTTTTGGTCACAGAGGGGGTTTCAGTTTTTATTTTGGAGACAGGATTTCTCTGTGTAGCTTTGGAGCCTGTCCTGGCACTCGCTCTATAGACCAGGCTGGCCTTGAACTCACAGAGATCCACCTGCCTCTGCCTCCGAGTGCTGGGATTAAAGGTAAGGGCCACCCCTCCTTTTTCTGTGCCCTCTTCTATTTCTCTTGGTAACTAATTTTGGCCTTCTGTTGAGCAGTATTTGAACCTTGATGGGTGTTAGAATTGACAGAGGTTGGGAATGTGTGGAGTTAAGACTGCTCAGATGAAGTAATCACAGAGATTGTTAGGTCCCTATAGAACTCTTGCTACCTGGTCCTGTTCTCTCATCCTTGAATTGCCTCTGGTACCACTGCCTCTTTTCCAAGCACTGGGAAGAAAGCTGAAACATCAAAACTCCCATTCTAATAACACCCCCTCCCAGTCTAGGAATAATTTCCTTTCAGGGTGGTAACTGAATAAATCACCTCCCAGTTTCCTCATTTTTTATAGATAGGGATGATGTACCCATCTCAGAGATACAGAAAGGATGCAATGAAGAAAACTTGCATGTTAAAAAACCCTAAAGTTAAACAAGCACTTACCAATGTTATCTCCAGTCCTATACTCTAAGGTAGAAACAGTTCTTTCCTTTTTCCACAAGGGTCTGGAACCAGACAACCCAAGCTGCTTCTAGCTTGTGTGTCCTCTCCAAAGTGTAAAGGAAAGCCAGAGCATGGAAGGTTAGAGAGAATATCACTTCTACAGGCCCTGAAGAGGAAAGAGGGGGTTCTTCGACTTTTGACAGAACACCAGTCAGGTGGTTTCTCTCTCTCTCCCTCCCTCTCCCTCTCACTATAGATGAGGAAACTGAGGACTGTAAAGTGATGGAAGCTGCATTGCCAATCTTCCCACCCTCTCTATTGCTGACCTCCTCACCCCTTTTCTTCCCTAGAGGGCTTCTGGGTCAGTGACAATAAGTATAAGATACAGAACAAAAAGCAAGAACCTAAATAAATGGATGGATAGATGGAAAAAAAAAAAAAAGCAAGAACCTTCAAGGAGCCAGGACCTTTCCGTTAGACTTCATAAAAATTTAACATGAAAACTTCTGCAGAGTAGAAAGCACATAACACATGCAAATCATATGCTAATCACATGCTAATCTAAAGTCTGGCTCTGGCACTCACCTGGCTATAGCCTTGGGGAAAATTCTGGGGAAACCCCTGGGTTCTAGGAAAGCAAGGATTCCCTTTGGGGTCTTGCCATGGAATTTAGGTTTGCTTCAGGATTGGAGAGAAGTGAAGTGTGTAACTTGGGGTTAGGGAGAGTGGAAGGGCAGAGTCATTGATAGAAGTTAATGAGGGATTCATCCTCACCTTCTCTGCACCAACCCCACATCTCACCAAGATTTTGTTATCTTGCTGCACCCCTGGCTGCCCACCTCCCATTCTTAGGCTCATCACTTCCCTGGGACCTCCTAGTTCAATCACTAGAGAGGCACTGGCTAAAATGTCCTTGACCTCTCCCCACTCCTCTGCATTCTCTCATAGATTTTTTGCCCCATGAAGACCTACTGGTCTTAGCCTCAACTAGGTCCCTCCTTAGATGAATGTGACAGCTGCAGGGGAAGCTATGAGGACCCGGTGAGTTGGCAGCTTCATTCCAGAGCATGGGGAAAGAGCAACAGAACATGAATAAATTCATAGAGCTGGCCCCTTGGCTCCCTGTGAGCCAAGCCTGCTATCCCCCACCCCCTACACACACACACACACACACACACACACACACACACACACACCAAACACATCCTTCCGATGCCTCCTGCAACCTGGCTGGCCACTGCTGCTCACAGCTTGGGCTGGGGATAGGAACAGAAGGGAGATGCTCCAAAGAAGAAACCTGGCACCTGAAAGGGGCTGAGGTGAGGGGATCAAAAAGGAGTGATGGGAACTAGGATTAGTCTGGTAGATGTAGAGCTGGCCAGAGCTGCTGAACGGAGGGAGAATTCAGGGAGGAAGATGAGGGGTGTAGGAACTTGGGGGTGGATGAGGCCCGAGGCTCTCTCTTGGTGGGGGTGTGAACAGAGACCTGCTTTCTTTTGATCGGCGAAGCTGGTATGAATGGAGACCTGCTCTCCCTGATCCATCCATCATGCGGCCTGGGGGAGCAGATCTGGAATTAGACATGCACAGGGACGACACTCAGCCCCCCCCCCCCAGGAAGACAAATGGTGACAAAGACCTTGAATAAAATTTGTATTTATGGTTGGAGGAGGAGCCCTTCCCCCACTGGCTGCCAATCCTTTCTCTAGCAATCCTTTAGGGCAGGTTGGGACCTCACCCCACTCCCAGCAAAGACCCAGCCCAGCTCTAGCCCCAAATACTTCTTTCTGCTGACAGAGAAAGGTGTGGCAGGTGGTCTAGGGAAGGAGTACAGGAATCAATCGAGAAAGGAAGAAATTACCTTCTACTGACAACTGTGTCCTGGTGTGCCTTGTGCACTCTAGGCTTTTACCCTACCCTCTAAGGGGCCTCTGCTGCTGTCTACTGTTAGGTTTCCAAACGCCCCTGGACCCCTCAGTCCTATACTCCACTGTCCCAGCCTCTGAGCTTCTTTCTATTCACCGAGAAGACACAGTTAGGGGCTTTCCCTCTGCACTCTGGTGAAAGCCAGTGTTCCTTCTTGGTCACTCTGAAAGCAGATGGTGTCACCATTATAGGTGGGTGGCTAATACCTAATACAAATTTGAATTCTGTTAGCATGCATAATCAACCAAACATCCATTATTTGGGGCTTAATTTCTCCAGGCTGTCTCCAATAATGAACAACTGGGGAGCGACACTGATAGGGGCTGGTATTAGGGCCAGACTCAAGCCTCCCCTCCAGTGGTGCCAGTCTGGGAGGGAAGGTGAGACGACCCTTCAGGCTCTTTCTCACCAGGAGATTTCATGGGCTTCGGTCCTGAGACAGGAGAACTGGCTCCTGCGGGTCTCAGGTCTTAGGACTAAGACAGAGAGACATACCCTATTCAAGCAGCCTCACATGTGTACACAAAGACAGCCCACAATTCACAACAGTCCTACTCACCCAGGGACAGCAAGGCCAGGTTCTTATGGCCACCCCACCACACACACACACAGTAACCAGCACTGTCAAAACACACAGACCCACAGCCTACCACTCTGCTTGCAGAACTGCCCCGCCCCCGCGTCTTCCTCACAGTTGATATGTCACATTGGAGTCCGAACACGGACCTGGGTGTCTCTCTGCAGCGCGCCATTTACATTTCTCTCTCGATCTGTCAACCTGTCTAGGCTCCCTTCTCTCTCTCTCTGTCTCTGTCTCTCCCTCTCCAGCTCTGGGGCTGTCAGTCAGTCTCTTTTAGAACCTTTGTCTCTCCATCTCTGTTTCTGTCTCTGAATTCTCAGATGTCCGTTTCCTGCTCATTCTCTAGTCCCCCCCCCTCTGTGTGTGTGTGTCTGTGTCTCTTCCTCCTCCTCCTCCTGCTGCTCCTATGCGCCCCCCACCCCACCCTCTAGGCCAGAGTCAGGGCGGCAGGAGAGTTGCCTGGTCAACAAGTACCGGTTGAACCCTTTGCCATATTCGGTATTTGGTTGGGGGCACCGAGGGAAGTGTGGTGACGAATCGAATTTTATTTCTGTTTTCTGTTTGCTATGTTAGTCGTCCCCCACCCCACCTCCCACGCCTTGTTTAGCTCCGCAGTCCCCCTGTGAGGTCTTAGATGTGTGTTGTAGCCAGATCCCTGTTTACCCCATCACTGTTCATCTTCCTCTAAGGTCTGAGAATGCCAAACTCCAGGTACAGGGCGGAAAGTGAGGATACGGTGGGTACAGAGAATTGCTGTAAGAGCAGCCAAGGAATCTGGAGGCCCGGGGAGGTGGGGGAGGTGGCACGGCCTGCCCCGCCCCCGCGTTTCTCGCTCTGGGCGCCAGGGGTCGCTCCGCCTGCGGCCGCTTATAGTGGCTCCTACCGCGCAGCGACTCACACCACCCGCACTGCTGCCCGGGAGGAAGGTTAGGGACGCAGAGAGGGAGAGCGCTTGCGGGAGAGGGACGCCTGGCTAGGGATCTGACGAAGGCTGAGGCCACGGCTATTGAAGGAGGCAGGCAGTGCTTCCCAAGAGCTGAAGTGCAAAAGCAACGAGGTCGCGTCCAGGGAGAGTCCCCCACCCTCCACAGCTCACAGCCTGGGACGTCGGGAGAACTGGGAGAGGTCCCCGGTCTAGCTGGGAGAAATCAGCGAGGGGCGCCCGGGACCCAGACACCGCCATCCGCAAGAAAGCAACTGTCTGGAGAGCAAGCATCCTAGACCTTTGGGAAACCAGCCGTCAAAGAAGCTGTGAATCTCAGGCGCCCTGGATCGTGATATCTGCGCCCGAGAGTAGTTCTGAACTACCCTACAGGGCTGTCCTTGGCCCAGCCCACGGGGGAGACCTCCACCCTGACCAGCGATTTAGGGAACAGCTTCGCTGTGACAGGAGGAATCCGCCGGGGCAAGGTGGTCGGGCACAGCCGTCGGGAGATCCGGACCGGGGTCCGAGCCCGCGGAGAGCCCAGAGCCTCCGCCGCCATTGCGCCCAAAAGTGAAGAGGATTTGCTGGCCCTGGCCGCGTCACGGCTGAGCCGCCGTAAGCGGGTGGCGGGCGCGGCCGTCGGGGTGGCCATGGTGCTGCTGCTGCTGGTAGCCATCCCGCTACTGGTGCACAGCTCTCGCGGACCAACACATTACGAGATGCTGGGTCGATGTCGCATGGTGTGTGACCCCCAAGCACCCCGAGGCCAAGGCCCCGACGGTGCTCCCGTCTCTGTGCCTCCCTTCCCTCCTGGTGCCAAGGGAGAGGTAGGTCGGCGAGGGAAGGCAGGCCTGCGGGGACCCCCAGGGCCCCCAGGTCCCAGAGGGCCCCCTGGAGAGCCAGGCAGGCCCGGTCCCCCGGGTCCTCCCGGGCCAGGCCCTGGAGGGGCTGCGCCCCCTGCAGGCTATGTACCCCGAATTGCTTTCTACGCGGGTCTTCGGCGGCCTCATGAGGGTTATGAAGTGTTGCGCTTTGACGACGTGGTGACCAACGTGGGCAACGCTTATGAGGCAGCCAGTGGCAAGTTCACCTGTCCCATGCCAGGTGTCTACTTCTTCGCTTACCATGTGCTCATGCGCGGCGGCGACGGCACCAGCATGTGGGCCGATTTGATGAAAAACGGACAGGTGAGGTTGCCCCTCTACTTAACCCCAGATCTCACTAGTGACTTCCTGAAATTCCCTGTACTCAGTCACAACCCAGCTACTCCCCTGAAATACTATTAGGGTATCCAAGAATGTCAGGCCACCAAAGAGAAGGAATGGGGGCCTGGAAAACAAAGTCACCTGTCCAAAGTCTCACGGAGCCTTAGAGTGACATAAGGGCTAGAACTCAGGAGTCAAAGCTTGTCTCTGCAGCCTCAACCTCACTCTCCAACCTCCCACCATAGCCTGTCACATCCTATGTCTTTGGCGCTCTCCCTATCCCCCCCCCCCCAGCCTCTTCTCCCCCATCTTGAGCTGCCTGCCATCCTTACTGGGCCAGTTTTCTCTGTCAATGGGTTTCCCAGCCCTGGCATGGAACAAGCTATTAGGGAACATTGTTTCAAGGAATTAGAATAGAATCTTGTTTTGGGTAGTGGGTGTCTTTCCTCAAGTGGAGTCATTCAGCTTGCGTTTTCAAAGAAAAGGTGAAAAAATGAAGAAAACACGATTTTTTCCTATTTGCTAGGTAGCTGTCCCATTATTTGTTCATCCCCAGGACCTGAAGCCAAACCTAGACCAAGTCTTTCTCTCAGCTACCACTGACTCTGAAGGCAGATGTGGAAAATGGTCTGCTGGCTCAGGGGCCACATAGGTGGTAGGGTGAACCAATTGGATTTGGGTTTGGAAAAGCTAGGAGGCAATGGACAAGAAGAGAGGAGGCCTGGGCTACAGGCCATACACCTTCCCTGGGAACCTCTCAGATTCCACTGTGTGTTACCCCAGTGGGTAGTCAAAATCATTGCCACGTAGTTTTGAGGGACTAGCTCTCTGAAAGACTCACACATTTGAACTAGCAAGATGCCATAGGCTGGGGTGGAGGGAGCTTCCTATACTATGCAGAAAGAAGGTTTGGGCTGAACAGTGACCTCTGAATGTTTCACAGAGGGGGTAAGGCCTTGGTGCTCCTTAAGCCTTGAGCCCTGCTATATAGATAAAAAGCTCCTGGATCCCAAAGTTTCATCACCCCTAGCTAACCTTCTCCTTCATCTTTGGGGTCTGTTCCTAGCAAGTCCTTCCTCCAGAGCCTGAGGAAGGAGTTGCTACGCTAGGCTATTTGCATCTTCATGGGGTTGACAGTGAGTGCCCACATGATCCAAGTGTATCTGTGACCATGGGATGCCAATGTGTAGGTAAAGCTTGGTGTCTTTCTTCTTGTGGTACTGGGTAGGTAGATGTGGTATGTACTAGGAATCTGGGAGGAGGTTGGACTGTGTTGGTTTTGGAGGAGGCAGGGTGGTGCAGTTTCTACTCTGTATTCCACAGAGCCGACACTGCAGCCCTGGGAATGGTAAATAATGATTAGAATAATGATGAATAATTAATGATTTAATAACCAGTCCCGGTGGGATGGAAACTGGGGGAAGGGGCTGGCAGTATGACTGCACCAGACCAGAGATCCCAACCAAAGGCAGCCCTCCACATAGTGGGGGACCAGGTGAACACTCCACAGGGAAATTTGGGCCCAGGAGGCCAGAGAGAAACAATTTACTTTCCTACCAGTATAATACAGGTGTAGCACAGATGAAGACACATATATTCCCCAGCCCCACAGAGAAGCTAGTTTAGGAATTCCAATCCAGCATGGACTTCTAGAAGTATCCTGAATGCTTTTTTTTTTTTTTTTTTTTTTTTTTAAGCATGAGAGTAACAACTCTATGTAACATATACAGAATATATAATTCTGAACTTACTCCAGGAGTAATTACTCATTTAATCCTAACCACCTCATGGGGTAGGTTTCATTATTATTACCCCTTGATGCTCTAATAGAGGCCCAGAGAAGGTACACATGTGCCGAAGTCATGCCTGAAAAGCTCTGCAGTCTCCTAGCTTTGTGGTTCTAAACCTTCCTGATCCTGTGACCCTTTAATATAGCTCTTTATATTGTGGTGACCTCCCAACCATAACATTATTTTGTTGTTACTGTAATTTTGCTACTGTTATGAATTGTAATGTAAATATCTAGTATGCAATTCATTTCAAAGGGTGGTTGGACCCAAAGGGGACTCAACTCCCTCAGTCAATTCAGCTCTGCACAAGGCATAGGACGTGGGTCTGTTTCTTTGGTCCTTTCTCACTAGGTCCGAAGCATAGGATGTGGGTCTGTCTTTCCTGTCTTCTTTCACTAGGTCCGGGCCAGTGCCATTGCTCAGGATGCGGATCAGAACTATGATTATGCCAGCAACAGCGTCATTCTACACCTAGATGTGGGTGACGAGGTTTTCATCAAGCTGGACGGTGGGAAGGTGCATGGCGGCAACACCAACAAGTACAGCACCTTCTCAGGCTTCATCATCTACCCGGACTGAGCCCAACACCTTCCCACACACTCGCATTCGCCTGTCCCTTTGCCCCCTTGCTCCAATTCACATCCATCTCCAACTAGCTCTACCCAAGTCCATCCTGTGAGAGCCTGCCTACTCTCCCCAGCTCCCCAGGCTACCTAAATCTGCAGATTCTTGGGACTCAAAGGTTTTAAGTGGCTGGGGGAGTTGAGAGGTGGGAAGATGGGATGAAGAGAGTAGCTTAGGGAGGGACCACCTCACTTGTGCATCAATGAAATCAGGTCACAGAGGGAAGGAGGTCATGGCCTTCCCTTCTGCCTGGAACTGCAACAGTTTCACTAAAGAACTCACAGGGGGAAAGGTATGCCCTGGCAGCTTGGTAGGAAAAGGAATGACACAAGAGGCCGTCTGGGTGAGGAGATTGGCACAGCTTAAATAGCAGACCTCAGTAGACACTTACTTTTCCTTCCCCTCCTGCATCTCCATTTTCTAGGCTCTAGCTAAGACAGCCTTCCTGTGAACTGGAGGAACCAATGATTTCCTTCCTAGTATTTAAAGCCCATTTTGTACAATCTCCATTCCACTCCTCAAGCTACAGATACTGTTAACTTCTTCCAATAAAGTGAGGCTGGGGATTGTGTGTGACTGCCTACCTTGGTGCAGAGTGGGAGAGTGGCTGGCCCTCTGCCTGATGCCCTGAAAGGACTTCCATCCTGCTTGTCAACCTCAACTAGGAGATAGATCTGTGCAGTTAAGCCTGGCCAGACCTGCCTCTCCCACAGGTTTCAGCTTTGATGTGGGAAGGATGAGTGGAGGGAAGGGGGCCTCCCTTTCAGGGGTGCTGTCCTTGCAAGAGGAGTATGGATGATTCAAAAGTTGGAGTTGGTGTACCTGCATAGGAAGAAAATTCTAGCAGCTTTCTTACCATTGTGATTGGTCTCTTTGTGGTTTTTCTTTTTCTCTTTTTGAGATGGGTGATAGCTTTTGCCCAGGGTGGCCTCCAATTCTTGGATTCAAGTGATCCTCCTGCCTTAGCCTTCAAGTACTTAGGGCCACAGGTGCCCAACTAAGAGGTAGAAGAGTTACTCTAGATGAGGAAATAGCTGTTAGCCCCTGGAGTGGGACCAATCTCAGAGAACAGGTCCCACAATTTCCCCTAACTCACTCAAAGTTTGCTGAGAAGGTGGGTTGGGCAGGAGTAGGAAGAGGACAGTTTCCTCAGAGAAAGCCCAAGGTCCTGAGTGCTTTTTTCCCTCTCAGTGGAGCACACTGCCACCATGTGGGCCACTGGAGAGCAACAGCAGTAGTTGCCCTATTGGAACACTCATATTTATGGAAACTTTATTAGAGGATAAAAGGGTGTTGGCTCCCAGTCCAATGGGCAGAGAACAATAAATAAGGCTAAGAAGGAAGGGACGAATGAAGCACAGGAAGACCTGTGGAGGCTGCAGTCATGATGGAGAGTCCTGTGGGACCACAGAACCAACTGGAATGAACCGCTGGAGAAAGAGAGAAGCCTTGTCACATTCACCTACTTCTCGGTAAAGGAAACACACTAGCCCCCCACCCCCACCCCTGCCGCTGAACCGTAGGTTTGTTGGGCAGTACTGTCGGGCTGTGTACCGAAGGCTCACCAGGGCATCCTGCCATTCAAGCAATGTGGCCACTGGGTTGGTGCAGACCCGGGAAGGCCCAGAAGGCGGGGTCCGGCTGGTGTAGAAGGCACACTCGTCATCCAGGCGAGCCTCGTGGAAGCAGTGGATGGCAGTGAGACACGCTCTGAGGCGCTGCCTCAGTGCCAGAGTTCGAGGGGCCAGACTGCTGGGGCCTGAAGGTCGTGGAGAACTTGAGGGTCTCTGAAGTTATATCCCTCCAGGCGCTGCCCCTTCTCCCCACCACAAGCAGGGTCAGTTAGAAGCATAGGGGAGGGGAAGCTCTTTATACGGGAGCCAGAGGAAAGGAAACAGAGCACTGGCCGCTGCAGGCAGGGCCCACTCCCTAGACACAGAACCTTTTCTCCACACCCTTTCCCAGCCAATTCCTTACCTGACTGGCCTGCTGGGGACCTCAAAGACTGCAGTGAGCGGATAGGGGGGCTGGCACAGAGTGAGCTTTGTGTAGAGAAGGTCAAGCTGGTGGTTGCTGGAGTCCCCAGACTGCAACAGGGCCGTGGGCTAGACTCCGGATTTCTAGCTTCCAGAGAGTAGGCTGCTGATGATCCCAGCTCTATCCTAGGGCAGGCCTCAGGGGATCCAGCCTGTCCTTGAGAACTGGGCAGAAGGGGTCCAGGCAGTGCGGGAAGGCAAGGGTCTGGTGGCTCTGGCCCAGCTATCCAGCATGGCACTGGGGGTCGTGATTCTGTGATAGAGCTGGGTTGAACCACATTAGTCTGCCCAGCACAGGCCTGTGGTTCCTCATGCTTTTCTGCAAGATGGGACTGTGGCTCCTCACACTCTTCTGCAAGGTATGGCTCTGTAACACCAGAGTGTTTTGACAGTCCAAGAAGGGAAGTTCTAGAATTGTGTTCTGGAGCACTCAGAGTTTTAGAAATGTCGGCCAGCCGGGGCTGAAGTTCAGTCATCTCTAGAGCAGAGCCTCCATTAGGAGGGGCACATTTGCCCACTGCCAGCCCCTCTACCTCCTGTCGCAGGAGCTGTTGCAGAACACTGATGCGCTGTGGTGGGAGAGAGTGCCCCAGTGTGTCACTGTGTCTACAATGTCTCCCTACACTGTCATCTCCCCACACCTTTCCTCCCGGCTTCCCCTTCCCAGTCTTCTGATGGTGCAGAAGCCATCAAAGGTCTCATTACAGGCCCACCTGCATCTTCAGCTCCTGAAGGTTGGGGGTTTTGCTGGGGTGAGGGCCGGAAGTGCTTGCCACAGGGTGTTTCCCAGAACCCTTCTGCAATGTGACACAACTCTCCTGGTCAAACAACCTTACAGCAATCTGCTCCTGCCACATAGAAGGAAAGGGGTGGGTGAGGAAGCCATACTAAGGTGGGAAGACTGTCCGCACCCTCTTGAGGAATGGGTCAAAGCTCTCTGGTGGCTCTATAAAATCAGTTATGCTAGTACAGGCCTATAATAGAGTTGACATTAGCTCTCAAGGAGCTGAGGCAGGAGAATCAAAAGTTTGAGGCGTAGGTTGTTGAGATGTTCATACACACATACAAGAAATTTCTCCAAAGTTTCAGACTAGCAGAAGGCAGAGACAGACAGACATTCTAAACATGGGCTAGGAAGAGCAGATGGAGAGGCAAGAGGCAAGCAAATTCTTTAGACAGTACACCTACCTCAAATCACAAGGCTGCCAGCCCTTCAGGCCAGCAGGACAGCGTCACAGACCTCAGTACAGGAAGGCATTTGACACTTACCCAGGGCATGGCAGGCTCTTCAGGGGAGGAATGAGGGGAGAGGCCACTCAGCCACTGGGTCTGCATCAGACAGGACAAACCACCCATGGGTGAGACATACACTCCTCTTGCCTGTCTTATCACCTCCCTGACCTGTCTCCACACAGTACCTGCCCCTCTCCCTTCCTGTGTCTTTACAACCCCCCCCACCCCCACACAGTATCTGCCCCTCTCCCTTCCTCCCTAGTCTTGGCCCATACCAGTTGCCTCCTCTGCTCCCTTACTTGCTGAATTCTGGGTAATGATCGGAGGGGCGTGAATTGGGTTTTCGGCCGAATGGTGAGGCGTTTCAAGGATGAATATGAAGTCTGAGGAAAGACATGGGGAGTGAGCCAGGCTCTTGTAGCTAGATTCTTCTGCTTCTGGCCAGCTCAAGAGTTGTTGATACAAACCACAGCTAAGATGCCTGGGGAGGGGACACCTGAGCCTGTCTAAAGGTGATGGGTTGTTGACAAAGGATGGCACTACATGGCCAGGCATGAGTTGGGCTACAGGACAGGAGAAGGCATTGCATGAGAGTCTTTCTGAATTCACCTTCCTATGTCTTTTTCTCCCCACAGAAGAAGCAGCACCAGTTTTGTTTTGTTTTTTTGTTTTTGTTTTGTTTTTTAGATAGGGTTTCATGTGGCCAAGAGGCTGGCTTGGAAATTCTGATCCTTCTGCTGGGATTATACATCTGTCCTACCATGTGCAGTGCTTGAAGGTTGTTTTAAGAGAGAAATCAAGTACTGTTCCCTAGTTCACTTTCTCCCTTGGTCTTTCCTTTCAGTCCAAGGAAGAGCCAAGGACTTACACTGACTTGTCCTTACCTATTCTCACCTGCTGTCACTGTAAACTCATCTTGGAGCCTCTTCCTCTTTTCTAGGCTTCAGTCTCACTGGCCTACTTGGCTGGCTTACAAACACATGGAGCATCCTCTCCTCAGGGCCTTTTAATCTCTTGGTTAAATGGCTCTACATTTTCTCCTTTTATCTATATGCCTCACACCCTCAACTCATGGCCTTCGTCTTCACTTAACCTTCATCTTCTCAAGGACAGTGTTCTGGCCAAAGCACATTTTATAAAAACAGAGTGATTAGTATCCCCTTTAAAAAATTTAAAAAAAATTTTTTTTATTTATGTGTGGGTGTTTTGGTACCCAAGAAAGCCAGAAATCATCAGATCGCATGGAATGGGAATTATAGGCAGTTATAAGTTGATCAATGTGAGCTGTTACCAGTCCTAAATACAGGTTTTCAAAACAGGATTTCTCTATAGCTTTGAAAGCTGTCCTAAAACTCTCTCAATAGACCAGGCTGGCCTCGAACCCCAGAGATCCTCTCGAGTGCTGGGATTACATCTTTTATTTTTAAAGACAGGGTCTTACGGCATAGCTCAGGTTTATCCTGAAATTCACCGTGGAGCAGCTCAAGCTGACTCTAACTTGCAATACTTCTGCCTCTGGCTCTAAACTACCAATTTATGACACCAATTCCCCTCCAAGATCCTCTCAGTCCCTTAAGTATTTAATTTTAGACAGACTATATCACCTCCTGACATCCTATATATTTTATATTTGTGTTTATTTTTAATGCTTTCCTCTTCTAGAATTTGCACATCCTGAACCTAGAACCATGTTTGCATTCAAAAGCTAGTAAGTAAATACTTAAATTTATTTGCTGTTTTTTGTCATGTTTTTCTTTTTCTTTCCTTTTCTTTCTTCTTTTCTTTTGAGACAGGGATTCTCTGTGTTGTTTTGGAGCCTGTAGACCAGGCTGGCCTTGAACTCACAGAGATCTTCCCGCCTCTGCTTCCCGAGTGCAGGGTCTAAAGGTGT